ATGATCTAATTTTGTATCTTACATTTGTTGTTTCCTCTAGGAACTTAAATGTATTTTTAATGCATTTTGGATTTCCTTTGTTAATTTGTTTGGTGAATGTCATGCTCAAATAATTTGATGCCAAAGACTAAGGTAGAGAAAAACAAGTGATAACGTCTTTCTGAATAAAAAATGGAGATGCAGAGCAATCTTTGAGAAGACTTTCCGTGTGTGGTTAAGTAAGTAATTAGAGACAAAAGCCAGCGCCTTTAGAGAATTAAACCTTGAGGTCATTGGTCATAACAGGCAGAGCCCGAGTGCCTGGAAGTTGTTTGAGATGGGTGCTTTTTGGAAAGTCCTCTCTCCCTGGCAGGTGGGAAAACACTCTTGACGGTTTTAGCTTCTGAGGGTTTATTCCTGTGTTTTATGTTATAAAACAACGCAGCGATGCACTCAGTTTAATATCGTGTTTGTAAAGTGTCCGTAGGTTGGATGTTTATTGGACTTTGAATAAGAAGCTAACAATTTCAGTTTTGTTTAAAAGGGCATTAGGGAGGGCCATGGTAGAGCACGTGCTTAGCATGCACGAGGTCCTGGCCATTAAAAATCCCCAGTGCTGCCATTAAAAATGAATAAGCAAATAGGCGTTAATTTAACAGATATTCAGTGTGGATCATAAATAACAGTAGTAATATTTTGGTAGTCAGCTTATGAGCTTTTCGCTTTCATCGCAGTGTGATCACAGCCTGATTGCAGTGCTGATAAATGGCCTCTTCCTCTTCCTGTCCAACTAAAGGGAAAAGGGAGGCAGGCACGGTGTCAGGTGAGCACTGATACCCTAACAGCAATCCCGTCTGGTGTCTGTGGCCCATTTTATGGTGTCTGTAGGCTCCTGGCTGCACCACCTCGTCGACAGCCCTGGGGGGGTCGTGAGGACTTGAGTTTAGTGGGATTCAGCTCCTGGAGAACTTGGGAGGCTGCTCGCTGCTCCAGGGCAGGCCGTCCCAGCACTGGCCCCTGCAGAACAGAAGTGTCTGTTCAAATCTTTTGCTCATAGTTTTAATTGGGTGGTTTTATTATTGAATTTTGAGAGTTTATATGTTTTGCATATAAGACCCTTATTAGATAAGTGATTTGCACTTTCATCCATTTTGTTAGCAATCTTTCCCATTTTACTCCAGAATGAAGCTTTAGGAGTGATGTGGGGGTTATTTTACAGTCTAGATCTCCCATGTTCTATTTAACTAAAAAAAGTTAATTTTATTTAAATGGCTGGTTTTGCCTGCTGGTCAAAACAGAGGAGGAAAATCGTTCCTGGTAAAAGCGTCTCTGAGGTTCCTGGATTATAAACTTGCATCAAAATAAACGTTTATACACAACGAAGAATTACAAAACAGGTGGAGACTCGAGTATACAATAGATCCTGTGGTCCCAGGTGTCCCAAGTGTCCAGTCATCTGGGCACCAGGACCCAAATCCAGTTCTGAGGTGCCTGAAAGCCGGCTGGGTCTCTCGCAAAGGGGGCGGGAGACAGCAGCTCAGGGCTGGAGGGCCCTGTGAGAGCGAATCTGTTTTTCAGAAGAGGAAACCGAAGCCCACCTTGGTTAGGAATGCGCCCAGGGTCATGAGGTGTTAGTGGCAGGACTGGACCTGGAACCCAGGTCGTCCGGTTCCTCAGCCGGTGTTGTTTCTCTGGGCCTTTCTGCGCATCGTCGTGCGGGAACTTACAGACTGTGCTCTGACAGCCACGCTGGAACGATTATCCCGGGGAAGCACCGTCACAGAATCTTACAGTCCCGCCCCCCCCGCCCCCACCTCATCACGACTTCATCTGAAGCTTCCCTGGAAGAGGTGAGGTCGTGTAGCTCTGGAGGGTGACAGCACAGGCTCTCCTCCACCCGTGGGAAGGTGACATCTGTGTGGTGTCTCCTGGGTGGTGTTGGCAGGCGAGCAGGATGCCACCAAGTGGGGGGAGGCAGACACGGTGCTGGGTCTTCACAGTGAAAGGGGCTCCGTGGGAGGAATGGGGGCGGCACTCAGAGGACTGGCTCTGGCGGGCGAGGTGGGAGCGGGGCCCCTCTTCTGCATCACTTTTATTCTGAGGACAGAACTCGTACATACAAGTCCACGTGATTAGAAAGCCAGACAAGTGCAGTGCACGTCCGTGGCGCTTAGCGTGTGCGTGTCTCTGATGATCAGTTTTCAGTGTTTTTCTTTCCTACACTTTACGCTTTTATTAAGTTTGTTAATGACTTTCCTTGTTTTCTTTATGAGGGTTTCTAATTTATTGTGGGTAGTTACCGACCTCTTGTTCCAACAGATTTTCCTGAAAAGAAATGACAACTCACAGTAAATCCTATTTTTTAGTGTATCTAGAACTTCCATGTTTTAACTTCTTCCTTGGGTGCGTACCCCTTCTTTGACATAATTTTCATGTGAATATTGTTACCTGTTTTCTGTGGCTTAGCCTTATCTTCAACCAGTGAACTGTTCCTTCTTTACTGTTATAAGCAGAGTAATAACTAACATAACAGCATATAAGATATAATGAAGTTAATCGGTCACGTTTTAGGGGGAGGTGGTTAGGTTT